CGGAAGTGGAAAAGTTGCTGAGAGTGTGGGAAAACAAGCGCTCTCATGCTCTGTTCTTACCTCTGCACTTAACAAGCATGGGTTTGCTGGCCGGCTCAAAAGTCCGCAGTGAGCAATGATTCCCAGTCAGTACCCTCACTGCTGTGGGTTTGGATCTAGTCCGAGGGTTCCCCAAGTTTTCACACGTTGAAAAATTAATAAGGTGTTGAGTGGGTGCAAACTGACTCTGACTGTGGGGTCTGGAAGTGGAAGTGGTCAGATTTGGTTAAGGTCAACAGGGTGGAGCATTGACAATGGAGTCCTTGTGGCTTTCTGAGAAGAGGGAGCATGACAGAGATGTTCAGGCACACTCCCTGCCTCTTGCCATGTGATGCTATGTGCCACCTTGGGCTTCTGCCAGCAAGACCAGCACCACCTGTGGCCCTTTGACCTTGCACTTGCAGAATATGAGCCAAAATGAACCTCTTTTCTTTACAAAGTGGCGTGCCTCATGTTTTTTTTTTTGTGTGTGTGTGTGTGAAACAAACAGATAACACACCAGCCAGATCTGAAATGTGTACAGAAGCTTATGTATTGCAGCATTGCTTGTAATTACAAAATATTGAAACAATCTGAATGGCTGCCTGTTGGAACAAGGCTGAATAAATTGTGGCACAGCGCAGAAGGCAAAAACCCAGCAATGTTTTAGGAATGAAGATCACTGGGAATGCATTGACTTTCAAGATGTATTGTTAGGATTGGAAGCGCAGAGTAGGAAAGAATTTCCATAGCATGCTACCTTTTGTGTAAGAAAGAAGGACCATAGGAAAATACTTGTATAGAAAGAAATGTAGGAAGAAGAAGGTGTAAAGCCATGTGAGTTGGGTTAGGATGGACGCTTGATGTGGGTACGACCCTTCTGTGGAAGTGTGTATTGTTTTGACTCTTGGAAACAGGTTACTGTTCTATGCACACAAAATTAGGTAAGCAACAAGAATGGCATAAGAATGCTAAAATTAGAGAACCAAGATGGTGGAATACATCAAGCACATGTTTAAACAGATGGAGAAACATTAACCAGGATGAAGCACAGACAGCAGATTCCAGGAAATAGGAGAGGACACTGACAGTGGAAGGATATCCGGAGATGCGTGGACACAGAGAGGCAGAGGAGAAAACGAAGTGGTGTTGCAGTGACCAGGGACCCCAGCAGCAGTCAAAAACCAGTGATCCGAGCTCCACAGGTGGCCAGAGTTCCACTGGCAGCCAGGTGGGAAGGGGAGATACCGGGAGCTCAGGGGTGAACCCAGGCAGAGAACTGCCCATACTGTTGATTTGTTTGAGCTAATTAGGAGCAGACAGAGCAGCAGACCCCCAAGCAGGCAGTGTAGGAACAGGCAGATTTCACAGTCCAGACCCCCATAAGTGCCACATCAGGTGCCACTTTGTGTAGTGTGGCAAAGGTTGTGGACTTGAAGAATAACAGCAAGCTGTGTATGTGCTAAACCTGGAGCAAACTCATTTCTGGCTCAGTGTGTTGCATTGGCCCCACAGGGAAAACAGTATGGATGTTGCATCCTACAGGATCTACCCAAATAGGTCTGGGTAACTCCCAGACTTAATGGCCAGCAGACCCAGATCTCCTCCAGTGTCATGCTGGGTGCCATTTTGTGCTATGTGGCAAAGGCTGTAGGACTGGAGGGACAACACTCAGCTGTGATTATACTAAACTAGGAGCAAACTCACTTCCAGCTCAGTGCATTGCAGGTCCCACAGGGAAAATAGTTCTGACTTTGGCATCCTGCAGGTCCCACCCAAAATAGATCCTAATGGTCCGCAGATTCTGGCAAGATCAGCACCACCAACAAACCAGATATTTAAGACACTTAGTGTCTCCCTAATCCTGGGTACTGCTTGAGCCAGAAGTACGAGAAAGTTTGCATAGGCAACAGTGCAGCCACAGTACAGAATTGCAGGAGGTTGAGAGTGGTGAGCCAGGAGCAGGGGTTACAGAGACCATGGTGAAAGCTTAACACAAGAGCCCAGGTCTAAAACTCACTGGAGGGAGTGGCTCAAGTGACTACAAACAAGAAACTGGGTACCAAATACAATCAGTCAAATAAAAATGTAGACCTGTGGGTGACACAGCTTAGGAACCAGCCCTAAGAAGAATCCGCTAACCAGAATGCAATGACCAAGAGCAAAAGAAGATACAGAGGCACAATGAACATTACTGATGCATCTCCCCTGCAAAGGAGCAAGAGCCTTTGCCGACCTCAGACTTCACTGAGGAAGACATCAAGGAAATGGGGGATAAGGAACTTAAACAAATTTGTTATAAAACCTCTTAACAATGAAAAACACATACAAGAGTTTAAGGAATATGTCACACAGGCCAGAGGAGAATGGAAATGACATATTTCAGATTTTAAAGGAGAAAAATTGTCAGCTCAGAATAACTTACCCAGCAAAACTTTCCTTTGTCTTTAAAAATGAAATAAAATCCTTCCACAGTGAAAAAACAGCTCAAAGAATATACCTCTTTCAGTCCTGCCCGACAAATGATATTTAAAGATGGGCTATTGACAGAGAAAAGGAATAGCACCCACCAAAAACCAAAGACAAATACAGAGAACATCCCAGTAGAATGACAACAGAAGACTAAATCAAACAATGAACAACTCATTGCTAAAATGACATGGCAAAATTACAATTTGTATTAATCCTGAACGTAACTGGCTTAAACTCATCAATCAAATGTCATAGATTTATGGACCGGATCATCAAAAAGCAAAACCCATTTATCTATTGCTTACAGGATACGCATCTCATCAATGAAGACCAGTGGAAACGATATCTCGTGGATTCTGATGTTTTTACTTTCGTTTCTTTAAAACAGTCTTTTCTTCTCATATTAAATTCTTTACTGACTCATAGGTCATACAGTAGCAATGTTTTCTTCAAAAAAGGTTCTTGATTTTCTTTTTCATTTTTTTTAGCAACACATTAGTCATTCAGTAGCATGTTATTTAACATTTATTAGTCAGTAAGTAGGTGGTGTTGTAAATTTCTATTTTTCTTCCCATTGTTTCTTTTGTTTTGTGGCTTTTCATTTAAGGGATGTTGTAATAACTGGTAATAGAGTCTGTCACACCCATATGTAAAGATGTAATGCAGTATACATCTCTATTTCCAGATCAAAGCTGACTCCTAATGAAACTATTATATATCTCGACAATAGGATGCTGAACTCTGACATTGTCCATGCCCGCAATATCAGGATACACTTAAATAGCAGAACGATGGACTTACGACTGTTTATGAAGAACCATATTATTGCAATAATATAGGGGAAATCAGAGGAGGGGAGGGGATTTGGGAAGAGTGTAAGGAAAATCCCAGAGCCTATGGAACGATGATAAAATAAAAATAAAATGAAAAAATAAAATTAAATACAAACAGATGTGAAAGAACCCAATTGCTTTTCAAACAGATGCTACAAACTCAAGAGGAGAAAAAGAAGGTAATGATTGGCCACAAAGCTTTTTAGTAGACACTAAGAGCTGGGATATTCTAAAGCTAATTTCTGAAAATACCAGCCTTGAGCTAATGATTGAGTATATTAAGATAACAGGGTCCAGATCTTTCATGGAGAAAAGAATTACATTAATGAAAAGAGGAAAGCTAGTATGACTTCTGTGTTGCTCAACCGGGTAGGAGACGGATATAGGAATTAGTGGTTTTAACTCTTTCGTTCTTTCCCTCACGTGTATATGTGTGTGCACGAGTGTGTATAATACATATATCGCTGTCTCGTCATGTGTGTGCTTCCTAGTTGTAGCCACTGAAAAGATTAAAAGCAGTGACATTCTAGCAGCAATGAGAATACTTTGTGCTGAAGTCTTGGCCTCTTTTTCTCCTCAAGATTTTTTATTTGCAATGCTCAGTTAGTGAGAGAGAGAGAGAGAGAGAGAGAGAGAATATTAAATGCCCTTGTTCACTTCCAAAATCGCCATAACAGCTAAGGCTAGGCCAGCTTAGAGCTAGGAGCCTGTAACTCCAACAGGGTCGCCCATGCAGGTTCAGCAGTTCAAACACTTGGGACATCTTCTGTTACTTTCCCAGGTGCATTAACAGGGAGTTAGACCATAAATGGGGCAGGTAGAACTCAAACCAGCACTCCTGTGAGATGCAGAAGCCTAATGTGCTCGCTACAACCCCAGGCCTGAAGTTTTGGTTGCTAGCCATATTTCATGAAGAATTAAGACTCCTTGATGAACTGGCTGACTTTGGGACTGAAATAGGTAAATTTGAATGGCTGTGTGCCAATGTTAAATTTCTTGTTTTTGATAGTTATTTGTCCTTATTTATGGATGGAATGTTCTAAAAACTGAATACTGAATTATTTTCAGGGTAATGGAGATTAATGTGTATAGCTCACTCCCAAGTGATTCAGGAAAAGCCACAGGGAGAGATGAAAAACTGACAAAGCGGGCCCGGCGCGGTGGCGCAAGTGGTTAAAGGTCCTCGCCTTGCACGCCCGGGATCCCATATGGGCGCCGGTTCTAATCCCGGCAGCCCCGCTTCCCTTCCAGCTCCCTGCCTGTGGCCTGGGAAAGCAGCAGAGGACAGCCCAAAGCTTTGGGAACCTGCACCCGCGTGGGAGACCCAGAAGAGGCTCCTGGCTTCGGATCGGCATAGTATCGGCCCGTTGCGCTCACTTGGGGAGTGAATCATCGGACGGAAGATCTTCCTCTCTGTCTCTCCTCTCTGTATATCCGCCTTTCCAATGAAAAAATAATAAAAATAAATCTTTTAAAAAAAAAAAAAACTGACAAAGCAAATCGGGAAATGCAAACAGATGGTGACTGTGGGTAAAAAGGTGAATAGGAATTCTTACAACTTGTCTTCAAGATTGAAATGAGGTTAGCTGGCTGTGACAATGTTTGCACAGATGACAAGACATTACTTGGAGGAGACTCCCTGTAAGGAGGAGGGAAAAAAACCAGGGACACCACCTAAGATGGTCCAAAGATTTTTAATGGGAGGCAGCTCCTCTGCGGCCCTGGCTGTCCCAGGAGCTGGAGGCACTCCAGCAGGTGCACAGGCATGGCTCAGACATCTTCTCCTCCAGGGGAGTTTGTGAATCCGTCATCATGACTTCTGCTCACCAGCGATTCCTTGTAGAGATGCCCAACAGTTGCACAGCTCAGGGTCCTGCATGCAGACTGCCCACTAGAATGGTCAGGGTCTCCCGATGAGGCATGGCTGGAACGGCCAGCGCTCCTGTGAGTAGCGGTTTAGGTTTCTCTTGTAAAAACCTCTTTGGGGAGCATATTCATTGACATCTGAAAGAAAGTATACTGGTGGAGAGCTTTGATTTGGGTTTGGGTGCCTGGTCCTGGTTGCTTGTATCTCTCTCTTAGCAAGTCTCAGATTCTAACATCCCATGGTACTCTGGCATAATACTTGTCCCAGTGAAGGGGAAGAGTTCCTTGCAGTAGGTTTTGCATTGCACTATGCTGGCAGATCCAAGGACATAGAGCACCTTGCAAAATACAGTCATATGAAAGGGACAGGATTTGGGCCTGAACTGGCTCTGCCCCTAATCCCATCTCCTGGAGGACTTGTGGAAAGTCCCTTCCTCACCATGGCTATCAATTCTGTAGGAGCAGGGAGGACCCAGAGTAGGCAAGATAGGGTAGCCCCAAGCCCCTCACTCTCAATTCAGATATAACAAGTCTCGTCTCACTTGATGTTTCATAGTAATTCAACTTCATGAGATTTTGTTGGCAGGAGAGCTTAGCTGTTAGGAGAGTTGTAAAATAACTGGGCTGCATGGTGCTTGGATTCAATGGCCAGGCCTCAGAGGATGTTTGTGAGTGATGTGAGATGCATGGGCACAGCAGGTACCCCGCTGGGTGGCTGCATTACCTTTGTGGACTGTGCCACTGTTGAATTGCTTATCTGTCCTTCCATGCCCCAGATACATTTCACTCTCACTGAATCAAGCTCGAACTACAAGTGTTTTGGGGCATTGTTTACTTGTTTTGTTTTACATTGTTTACTCTACCTGGCTGGGTTTCTGGGAACAACAGAGCACAAAGCCAGTGAGGGTCCTGCTCTCCTGAAACTTGCTAATAGCCAAAACTGACATCCAGAAAAGCAATCAGACAAAATTCACACATGTTGAAGCTACAAGAGCTTAGGGGAAGAACTGGATGTGCATCCTTTTCTTTACACCTGTCTTTCCTAATGGAATTCCTTGTTGGGAAGATCATGGAGTTAGGGTTTGGGCCCCTGGGATCTCCCCAGTGTGCTCAGGAATGTGGTAATGGCTTCCTGATTGGATCAGTCCACCTCACCTGTTATCCCACTTAGCTCCCACAAAACGGGGTTCAGGTCACCAAGATAAGGTCCCTTCCCTAGAGGTTCCTACTGAGTGTTAACACCCTCCTTTGAGACTTACCCTCAAACTCACTGCTGCTGGAAGAAGTATTTTCTGGACGGACCAGGGGTTGTCCCAAAGGCAAGCAGGAATTGCTATTAGCATGTTTGAAATTTTGTTTGTTCAGCTCATCCTTTGGAAGCTGTACGTCTGGCAATGACAAGCAGTCATGTGGCAAGGTCAGATGAATGCATGGAGGTGATAACTTTGACAACTTTGAAGCATCACATGCGTGAGTAATGGTTATTATGGGATGGGTGTATATCTGTGCCTACCTCTTCTGGACTCCAAGTACTTCCTCTTATAGGCAGGTGGATTCAAAATATGTGTCTTTCTAAAACATTAACTCTCCCTCCATTTGTGGCTATAATGCACATCCATTAAACGAAGTTAGGATATACTAAGCAGCAGGAATTAGAAAAACAATTCTTAAATCTCTCCCCCTCCAGATGCCTTCTCATGGTTAGTCTTTTCCTATGCACATTTTAATCATTATGTATAGTGCATCGATTCTACATGTAATGGATGCCTTTTAGTTTTTCAAATATGACTATTTTAAATATTTGTCTCATGCTACTGAATTTAAAAATAATGGCTGAACACAATTCTGTTTTATGGGCATTTCAAGATGTTTAAACCACTGTTCTAGTGTTGAATGCTCACACTGTTGTCAGCGTTGGCACTACAACCTCCATTGTGATGAACCTTCATGTACACGAAGCCTTTTTTTAAATGTACTTCCAGAGGTGCAACAAAGCATTGGAGCAATAGGCTGAGATATATCCAGCCACAGAGCAAATAGCGCTGGCATTTATTAGCTGCATATCTTGAGCAAATTGCTTCACCTGCCTCTGCCCTCCTTTCACACCTGAGAGATTATTTGCTCCTTTTGGGCAGCAATGTCCATTCCTGAGAGTTTATACAGCGATGAATAGCAGCATTTACTGTGAAGATGTCACACGTCGGCTCCGACACAGTTGGAGATACTTATTGAAGCTAGGTCCCTGGGGTCTAAGCAGTGCTTTGTCTGCACCAGAGCTGCAGTCATGATCATGATTATTATATTGGGGAAACTGACATTTTCAAGCTCTCGATTTTCACTGTGAAACTACTTTCAAAGGGATGCATTTAAACGACTTGCAGTTGCAGATTTCTGGAAAGTGTGTCAAGAGGATTGTTTTCTGCCATTGTGCAATCTCCTCTGCCAGGGGGACTGTGATCTTGGACAGTTCTGCCCGCCAATCCCTCCGACCTGGTGTTTGCTTGTCAATCCTAGCTTTGCTTAATCTCAACACTACCACTTCTTTCAGTGTGTTTCTGAAATTGCTCATCTCGGCACCACCTCCACCTCATCTGCTCTGCTCTGACCCCTTATCCTGGGCCATCGACGGGGAGGAGGCGGCGGCTGCCAATGAAGGCCTGGATCCATCACGTTTTTTCTCCCTTCCTTTGACTGGGGAACCTTGGACATCTCATGTTTCTGATGCCTTCCCTGTCTGAAGGTGGAAATGCTGTGGCTGACGCCAACTAGACTGTATAAGCAAGAAATGCCTTTCATTTCACAAGCCACTGGTAGCCATGTATTCCTTCCAAAGTCCGTGCAAGGTGCTTGCATCTATGGCATCCTTTTGCCATGCCAGCTATTCTGAAAAGTAACAACATATCATTTTGCAAGTTAAGGACATTAAGGCTCAGAGAGATGAAGTGACTTGCTCATTTTCTATGGGAGAGCTGAGATCCATCCAGTGTATCTAGACTCCAAAGCAGGACTCTTAACCACAATCTTCCTAACTGTTGTCCAGTGTTTTTCAAACTACAACAATATCTAACTTACTTGAAGATATTATCATGCAACTTCTGAGTCCATGAGTCTTGAACAGGGTCTGAAAATGTAGTTCTGACTAGCTCTCAGGTGATGCCTAGACGTTGGTCCATGCCTACACTTGATGCCTTATGGCTTTAAGCTCTCTTATTTATTGATGGATATATATATATATTTATTTTATATATATAGTTTTATATTATATATAAAATAAACATATAATATATAATATATATATTTTACCATGTAACTCCCACATTACTTTACATTGGAATTATCACTCAAAAGATGCAGGGACTATGGAGGCATCTCAGTAGGAGGGCACAGAGTAAACGCAGATCAAGAGAGGCCTTAAGGCATGTCCTGGTCTGATACCTACTGCTGGTGTGTGGCTGACGTGCTTGAGTTTGACTGGGAACCCTGGAGTCATCCATGGCCTGGGGCTCCTGACAGTCCTGGCAGCATAAACAGCAGATCTTCGAAGCAAGGGATTTGTTGGAAGCTGCAGAAGGCAAAGGAATGGAAGCCATGGGTTTTGAGACATGAATTCCAGATACCCTTGGAACCTTATGTGATAGGGCTGTAATTAGGTCAACCTCTCCAAAGGTAGAAAACACCTTTTGTATTCCCTATGACAGGGAAGTCCAGGCCCTTCAACCTGGCTTTACTTCTCTGGAGTCCATTTCTCCTGTGAGGGCAACATTTTCTTACCCATGGACAGGAGTTGAAGTCTCTACTCTTCCAGCTTTGCGGGGGAGCTGTGTTGAATCAGCCAACCCTTGAACGTGAGTCCAGTTCACCCAGCAGGGCTGTTTCCTAGGTAACACAAGACAGTGGCTGTGTTGAGATCCCAGATAGGATCTGCGATAGCAAAATCTCAATGCATGTGAAAATAAGCATATCTGCTAAGATTTTAAGATAGGTCTGTGTTCTGTCCCATTTTGAGCTTAAAGCTCTTAGAGGAGATTAGTCTTCTTCTTTTTTTTTTTTTTTAAAGATTTATTTTTATTATTTTTTCATTGGAAAGGCGGATATACAGAGAGGAGAGACAGAGAGGAAGATCTTCCGTCCGATGATTCACTCCCCAAGTGAGCGCAACGGGCCGATACTATGCCGATCCGAAGCCAGGAGCCTCTTCCGGGTCTCCCGCGCGGGTGCAGGTTCCCAAAGCTTTGGGCCGTCCTCGACTGCTTTCCCAGGCCACAGGCAGGGAGCTGGAAGGGAAGCGGGGCTGCCGGGATTAGAACCGGCGCCCATATGGGATCCCGGGCGTGCAAGGCGAGGACCTTTAACCACTTGCGCCACCGCGCCGGGCCCGAGATTAGTCTTCTTAAACTTCACTTTCATCATGTTGGAAATGGGAATACTTCATAGAGGAAGGGGTTGAATACACGGAAATGACCCCTGGGTGCTAGGTATGCAGTAACTGCTCAGTCAATGAGCTGCTCAACTTTTCTTTCCTCTCTTTGTGCAGCTCATTGGCTCCAAGTTAGCCCAGTGGGTCCAGGTACTATGGGAACATGTAAAGAAGCATGTAGTTTTGTGGCCTTCAATCCTTGTTTTGCCATGGATTTACTGCATTGCTTTGGGTAAGCCTTTGTTTCTAGGTGATCTCTTTGAAAAACTTTCCAGTCAGGCCTGGCGCAGTAGCCTAGTGCCTGAAGTCCTCTCCTTGTATGTGCCAGAATCCCATGTGGATACCAGTTCATGTCCTGGCGGCCTCACTTCCCATTCTGATCCATGCTTGTGGTCTGGGAAAGCAGTTGAGGACAGCCCAAAGCTTTGGAATCCTGCACCTGCATGGGAGCCCTGGAAGAGGCTCCTGGCTCCTGACTTGGGATCAGCTCAGCTCTGGCCATTGCGGCCACTTGTGGAGTGAATCAGCAGATGGAAGATCTTCCTTTCTTTTTTTCTCTTTGTATATCTGACATTCCAATAAAAATAAAAATAAAAATAAATAAATCTTAAAAAAAAAAGAAAAAACTTTTCAGTCTTCATGGCCTACAAAAATAAGACCTTGCTTTAGTCCCAAACTTCGTTTTGTGTGGATCAACTCTTCAAGATCCCTTAGGACCCCTATTCTCACCCCCCTATAGTAAAATTCCCTTCTTAGGAAATTCTTACCATGGTATTGCTTGAGTGTCTCTTATAACATCCAGTTTACCAGTTTACCTTCTAGGCACTTGCTCATCACTTATTTTACTGCTGTATCCTGGCCCAGGTCACCATTTTTTCTTGCCTGACTGACTGCAATAGCCTCCTAGTAGGTCTTTCTGCTTCTTTCTCCTGTGACTCTTCAATTGTTTGTACAAAGGCCAGGAGAGTACCTATCAAAACCATATCATGTTATTCTTTTGCTCAAAATTTCCAGTGTATTGAGAAAGATGGCCATAATAGATGAAGAAATATAGTATTAGAGAAAAATGGGAACTTATATAGTTCTAAGACAATGACATCTAAGTGAAAAGTGTGTTGGATAACAATAGCTGGAGATTGGAAACAGGAGAAAAAATGTCAATTAAGTTTAAAAAAATCAAAAGAAATTGCCCAAAATTTAAATTCAGAGAAAGAATACTTAAAATGTGTGAAGACAGCAGGAGTGACCCAAAGGATACTGCTGAGCTGTTAACAAAGGCACCTGTAAAACTTTGTGAAAAATGAAATGAAAATAAAAGTTTATTTTGTTACAAAAGTTGAAATCTATACTTTTCCCCCCATAATACACATTTTCTAATACTCTTTGGAGATTCTCTTTTACATATATGACTGGAGTTTCATATAAAGCAGGGGAAGCAAAAATATCTTAATAAAGGCTGAAGAGGCATCAGTGTAAGTATTCAGTGAATATCAAACATGAGAAGTATAAAACAAATCATCCCCGTGCATATCACAGCTGAGGCCATTCCAGGGCTGGGTCCAGGACCTCTGCAACTCCAGGAACTGAGATGAGAGGGTGACTGGTGGTCCAGCGGCCTATAACCAACAGATGCTCACCACAAAGTGCTCTCTCATCGTGTGTTTACAGATTGTAGGGTCATCACCTCTGCTACTGTAGAGGCTACCGTAGGTCCCCACCAAATCAACCCCAAACCTATAAAATTATAAACCAGTGAAACCAAGGTCCTGGTAGACACCACCAAAAATTCAAAACTGTAAGCCAATAAGACCAAAATCCTACTTGAACAGTCTTCTGATTTCACAGAATCTTAAAAACCCGAGACACTTCCAGAGACCCATCGTCTCATTCAAATCCTCCACCCCATCACCTTTCAGGATGCTTCACTTCGGTTTCCAAATAAAACCTTCATATGCTCACATTTGTTTCCTTGCCCTTCTCCTCACCCCACTCTCCTGCCAGGATTTATTTTTATTTAAAAGGGGCGGGGGGAGGAGGGAGAGAGAGAGAGAGAGAGAGAGAGAGAGAGAGAGAGAGAGAGAGAGAGAGAGAATGAATCTCCTATCTGTTGGTTCACTGTGTTTAGAACCATCCACAGCACTTCCTCACCTCCTACCTTATGGGCTTTTCTGTCTGCTCCGTATTTACTGTACTTCTGGTCCTCTGTCCCAACTAGATTATAAATCTCATGGGGTCATGGCTTTCATCTGCAGAGTTTCCTATTCCATTCTCGGTGTCTAGAACAGTGCCTAGCATAGTGTGAGCAGTAAGAAAAAGCATCTGTTGAATGAACAAATATTTTTCCTCTTTTATCTTAGGACAAGTATGGCCAAGCACTGGAAGGGAATAGGGACTTAGGTGATAACTTTTGTCCTAAGAATATCACAACCCACTTTCCCATGTGCTAAGTGAAAGGTTTCATGGGTCAGTCTTAATCATGCTCTGTATTGGTTGGGATTGTTTCTCCTTCCTAGCCATTGTAACCCAAATCTATCTTGCGCCCATGTCCTCTGTTTCTGCAGAGTGACCATATTCACTTGGTCTCCAGAGTCAGAAATCTGCCAGTCTCCTTCCCACCCTCTCATCTTTAGAGTGTATCTTCCCCACATCTCTTCACTCTACTGCAATCCAATGCCATTACCCTCACTGCAGCCGGGGGCAAACATTCTCTGTCACCCGTGCTGCTGCTAGTTCTTCCTCACTGGTTTGCCTTGCTCCAAAACTGGAATGAACTGGTTCAATCGCAAAGCCCCAATATCACTGGATCCAGGGTCTCTTCAGTTCTACAGCTCCAAGTTTTTTCATGGCCACTCCTTTTGATCTCTTCAGCCTTACCTCTTGGTTTCACTCACTACCCTAACAGCTGTAAGAAATGCTATACTTGCAGCTCCATCTAATCAGCTTTGTAACTGTCCTGAACTGTGCCCGATACCAGGCCTGTTCTCTCTTCACTCGTTGTCTTTTGAGATTCAGCTCAGGGGTTGCAGAAAACCATGGCACGAGTCAGGGTTCTCTTCTTTAAGCCCTTACAGCTCCCCTTCCCCTTATAACACGTTTCCCTATACCACAGCCTATAACTGTACACTGATCACTTAACTCATAGCCAATGCTCAACAAACACTGAGAACATTGGAACTGCCTATTTTACTACCAGTAGTTTGGGTGCTGGTCCACAAGTGTTTTTCATTTGTTTAATGAATATTTATTGAGAACTTACCAGGTACTAAGTACTTGTAGGTGCTGGAGATAGAGCAGTGAAGAAGATACAAGGCAGATAAATGCCCTGCTCACATAGAAGCAGGTAATATTTTACTATACTATGTATAATATTTATATCCATAGCACTCAGCCTTGGGATGAGCATGGAATGGGTACTTTATAAATACTTGTTGAATAGGGTCTGGTGCGATGACTTGATTAGCTAATCCTAACCTTGCATCTGCTGGGATCCTATCTTGGCACTGATTTGTGTCCCAGCTGCTCCATTTCCCATCCAGCTTTCTGCTTGTGGCCTGGGAAAGCAGTGGAGGATGCTCCATAGCTTTGACTCTGTGCCAAGACCAGAGAGACCAGGAAGAAGCTCCTGGTTTCTGGCTTCAGATCAGCTCAGGTCCAGCCATTTTGGCCATTTGGGAGTGAACCAGCGGATGGAAGATTTTTCTTTCTGTCTCTCCTCTCTGTAAATCTACCTTGCCAACAATAATAAAGAAATCTTAAAAAAAAAAAAACCAGTTGAATAAACACATGAGACTTTCTAACTATTGTATGATAATTTTGTGTCCAGAACTATCTCCTTTCCCCTAGTAACTGATTTTATCTGCACATAAGCTGGTCTTGCTATTAGGTACACTGAGCAGGTTCTACCCATTCAGATGTGCTCATTGTATGAGCTACTTAACCAAGAAGGGACACCCCTTGACTTCATTTGGCCCCAACTCTGAAAGACTTTTGGATATGCTGCCAGGGAAGCTTTTCAACAGAATTTGGATTCTAACATACTCTATTGAGCTCTGTTTAGTGGGCTTATTTTATGTTCCTAGAATTTATAAATACATGGAAATTTATATAAGACAATTAGATATCTTATTTTTAGAAATACAAATATTTGGTTAACAAATATAATGAATCTGCAGTCTTTTCTGCTTATTGCTTTAGCTTCACTTTTCTTCACTTGCTGATATGAGGATACTTCATCCAAGTTTGTGAAAAAGCTGAATTAAAAGATAAGTTTATTTTGGTGCCTCAAACCTGAAATTCATACATGTTTTTCATGCTATGCATTTCCATGAACTTTTTGAAGAACGCTCATATAAATGTTTATTTCATGGTGTACAGTTTTGCTATAGATTGTCCCACGCCTCTTGAATGCCGCCACAGGTCAGCCCTGAGCACTCTCATTTGGGATTCTGTTGGACTGGCTATTGATTTGTACAGAGGAGATGACTGAACCTTGAACTTGGTGTCCCTAAGCCTTCATTAGTACCTACTCTATGTTGTGGAAAATAAAGTCTGTTTACTTCCACTGTGATCAGGGTCAGTGACTTCCAGGCCATGGATCCTATGGCTTCTTTAGGCTCTGCCTGGCTGGGGAATTCAAGAGGCTTTACTTGAACCCACAGGTCTTGCTCCTGGTAGTTCACTCTTTTTTATTTGTCATAGTTGCTTCTACATGAAGACTTTGCCTTTTCTGGGAAGAGTTCTCACTTTGTCAGTCCCACTGCAGGCGTTCTCTGTGCTTATTAAGTGACAAACTTTACCTAGATGATTGAGAATTACCATGTACAAATTACCATGTACCATTGTACAAAATCTGAATGTCAAAAAGAAGAGATTGAAGAGCATTCTAGAAAAGAGAGAAAACAAAAAACATCAACCATTCAATAGAGGATTTTTTTGATTAGCTCGCTGTGTCCTCAGAAAGAAAAAAAAAAAATGAAAGTTCTTACTCCTACTCAGGCTTTTTGAAGACTTTCTTTGCCTTTCTCTCTCACTCCACCCAAACTTTTCTTTACCACTCACTCAGAACTGCTCCCTATTTCTTCCTCTGTCCTCAGGATAGATGGATGCTTCTATGTAGGCTCTGGTGTCACAGATGGTGCAAAAAATGATTCAAAGATAGAGGCAAGAAGGATTAGAACTGGCCAGTACTCAAAGCCATTTGGCTAGCTCATGGGACCTCGCTGCAGTGGCTATTCTCATGAGAGTAACAGATGCTTGCCAGCAGTTACACTTCACAGCCAAAGCTCTACTCTTCTCAGCACCTACCCAGCCCCTTGGACAGCAACCCTTAGACCACACAAGCATGATTCTCTCTTGTCTTACCACCACCAATTCCATTTATATTTCACATATTAAGCGGAGGCTTTTTTTTTCCTTCTAGAATAGCTTGTCTACAGATCAGAAAATGCACATATTCAAATTTCCTTCTCTCTCATTTTAACACGGTTGGTAGTTTACTTAATATTTTCACTTTGCTTTTTTTTTTCAATAGATGAGATACTTGGATATCATTCCCCATTAGCAGTGTAGCAGGGACTTAAAACATAGGCTTAACTCTTGCCATCCACATCTTTAACTGGTAAATTTAGCAGAAAGAGAGGAGATAAAATAGTTCCCCCTCTGGATGCTGACAGTAGAGCTTAGGATTGTTCACCATTTTCAAATATGGCAAGTCTCTGTAGCAGGTGTAGGTACAGACTGTGGATTGTGGAGCTCTACTTGGCATTCAGAAAAATAAAATCTCTGTGAACCTCGGTTTTCTGACCTCTAAAATGGGGATAATAATAATGGGTGGTTGTGAAGACTAGTTAGTGATGGAAAGTGCTGAGGACAGCTTTCAGGCACTTTACGAAGTTTAGTAAATGTCATGTGTGGGAGATGCTGGGGTGGGAAGGGGTGGGGTGAGGTGTCTCTTGCACTACCGCTGCCCTCCTCTAGATGGAAGCAGGGGCTAACGAAAATGGTCTTGGGTTGTCCCCAGTAGCAAACCTACAGTGCCTTGACCGGAACAAGACAAGTCAATGAGGGAAAACAGGAAGGCTTTTGGAACTCTTAAGGGCCATACAACACAGGCGGAGAAACCGGGACCCAGCAAGATGATGAGGCCAAGGCTAGCGAGGGGCGGAGTATGTTTCCTGTAGCAAGTGTCCAGGATTGGGAGAACCATTGTCCTGCGTGGTGTAGAAAATCAGCTCCCACCCACTCCTAGGTTTAACCTTTAAGCCTCACTCACCTGCAGCTGGCAGAGTAGGCAGGATGCCATCTGTGATGTCACAGAGCAGGAGAACTGGGGAATGTTGGGGACAGGGGACTTGGACTGGACCACAAAGGCAGGGTGAAGGGAAGCCTTCTGCTGATACTCTGCAGTGTCCATCCCTCCTCCGTCCATGATGCCTTGCAACCTGGGGCTCTGCAATGCGAGGACAGTATGCCAGAAGGGGGCAGTAGAGCGTTGGACATGGAAAGCCCAGGTCCCATTCTGGGGCCACACACCTGATGGCTGGTAACCCGAGGTAGACTTCTCGCTCTAGAAAATGGGGCTGTTAATATTTAAAGGTCCAATGTGTGATTTTAGGATTAAGTGAGGTCAGGAAGAAAAATATTTATCATGATACCTAGATGCAACGAGGAATCTCAGAAAAGGTAAGTATTGATGATAACACGGGTGACATTTTCAGTAACATTTTCAGGCTGATCTGTCTCACTTAAAAAAAAAAAAGGAATCATTTGTGCAGTCTTAAAATCTCTGACCTCATGGGATACGTTTTCAATTCCTTTATTTAGGACGACCCAAGAACTGTTTGAGGAGGCCAAATTAGGTTAACTTGTTCTCGATGAGAGCTATATTTGGATGTTTATACAGGTCACCAGATACAATGGAACAGAAGGAAAGAAGATCCAGCACCATTTAGGAAGTCACTGGGGTGGGAGGTGGGAGGTGGGGGGCTCAGTGACCTTTGCCATTGCAAATGTTTCATGGCGAGAACATTGTGTGTGTGTGTGTGTGTTTAAATGCTCGCCTTATAAAGCAGAATTCTTCATTTTTTAAAGATTTGCTTATTTTTATTGGAAAAGCAGATGTACAGAGAAAAGGAATTATAGAAAGATCTTCTGTCCGCTGATTCACTTTTCAAGTGGCCACAATAGCTAGAGCTGAGTGGATCTGAAGCCAAGAGCCAAGGAACCAGGGGCGGCTTCTGGGTCTCCCATGCTGGTTCCGGGTCCCAAAGTTTTGGGCCTTCCTGCACTGCTTTCTCAGGCCACAGGCAAGGAGCTGGATGGGAAGTGGAACAACCAGGACACAAACTGATGCCTATATGGGATTCTAGCATTTGTAAAATAAGGATTTTGTCATTGAGTCATTGTACTGGGCCCAGCAGAATTCTTGAGTGGTAATATTGGATGATGGCTCTCAATCCTGGCTACAAATGAAATTTACTTGAGATGTTTTATGATTCTGAGACTGCTTAAGGCTTAACCTCAGCTACATTGGGACTTTCTCTGTGGAGGGGACCCTGGGTAGCAGTGAACAAAGTCTCTAGGTGATTCCAGAGTGTAATCAAGAACTACTCAAATATGTGTGGATTTCCCTAATCACACACTGCAGTGCAACTCTCAGCTTGGGCAGTCCTAGGACCACAGCAGGAGCTTCAGGAAATGCCATTCCAAGCACCCACACCAGGTCGGTGAACTCACTGATTCAGAATGGGCTGAGGGCAAAGGCTCCAGCAATTTTATTTTTCTTATTATTTAGAAAATATTTCTTTATGTATTTGAAAGGTGGAGTTAGAGAGTGAGAACAAGGGAGAAAGAGAGTCTTTTATTCACTGGTTCATTTGCCAGATGACTGCAATGGCAGGAGCTGGGCTAGTCCCAAGCCAGGAGCCAGGGATGTGTTTCCGGTCTCCCACGTGGGTGCAGAGGTTCCAGCATTTGGGTCATCATCCACTGTTTTCCCAGGCACATAAACAGGAAGTTGGATTGGAAGTGGAGCAGCCAGACTCAAACGGGTGGTTTTCCTCACTAAGCCACAGCACCAGCCCATATTTTTGTTGTTTTAGATTTAATTTTTATTTGCTTGAAAGCAGAGTGGCGGGGTGGAAGGGTGGGGGTGAAGAGAGAGAGAGAGAGAAAAGGGAGAGAGACTTTGCTTGTCACTTTCCAGGTGACTGAAATGGCTGTGTCTGGGCTAGACCCAAGAAGCCTGAAACTTCAGCTGGGTCTCTATGATGCCGCCTATGGGCTGGCATCATTATCAGCTGCCTCCCCAGGCACATCTGTGGGGGAGCTAGATCAGAAGGAGAGTAGATGGGACTCTAATCGGTGCTCCAACACGGGGTACCTGTGGACTAGGCAGCACTTTAACTTGCTGTGTCCTCATGAGGACCCTGGCATGGCTTTACAGTGCCAAGGTGGTTTCAATTTTTTGATGTTTTGTGTATGGATCCTTTTGGTTTGGGATGAACATTTCAGGAAGAGAGGAGAACATCTGGGAAAACTTTTGGATGAAAACTGAAAATGAGGAAGTTAAAGATAATATAAAACATCTAAAAAAAGAGATTTCAGAACACAGGAGAATGAAAATAGCAATCTTTCCAAATTAGTGGTATCTTATGTACTACACCATTGTAAATGCACACTATGTTTTAGACCTTTGAAGCTGATACTTGTTCATTTGAACCATGCACTACCTATTCACAGATTAGTTGGTCAAGATCCTTCAATCCTTATGAGGAAACCAGGGGCTTGCCTTGTGTTAGGGATAGTTGACCATTCAGGGAAGTGGGGGATGGTGGGATGCACTTGCTTTCTTCCTTTCAGATCTGGGAGACGGGTGTGGTAGCTAGGGTCCTGTGTTAATTTCTGGCGTAGTAGTGACTAATACAATCTTAAATCTTCAGACCTTAGACTAAGTTGAATGGATAGATTCTGAGTTTGGTGATGTCAGAGAGGGTGGGCTCTGGGTGTCTGAGTGCCTGGGTGAGAAGCTGGGTCCTCTACTGGATGCCCTTGGCCGTGGCCAGGAACCCTAACGTAGTTCTCTTAGTGTTCTATATCTGGTGGGAGTAATAATAGAATTGATGTAAAAATAAACTAGGTAAGCCATGAAAGCCTGTAGATGGAGTGCTTGCTAGAGAGGAAGCACCGAATAAATTTTACTTATTATTTAATGGTTGGGAGTGAAGGGAGGAGTCTTGGGCTCATGTCCAGGCGTGTAGCTTTCTCATAGGTGGATGTGAAACTGGGGAACTTAGGAAGAGGTGAGACTTTTAATTAAAAATAGGTTGTACACAAACTTTGCTTTGAATTAATTACATTCTTTACAAGTTGCAAAGAAATATACAGAGACCCCATGAACCCTCTACCCAGCGTCCCCTAATGTTAACATCTTAATAATTTTATTATAAGATCAAAACAAGAACAATGGCATTGTACCATACACACAGTTTATTCAAGGTTCACTAATTGCACACACAAACACGTGTGCTTATTTGTGTAGTTTCATGACGTTTGTAGCGTCATGGAAGTGCCTCCACATCAAGACGGTCAGTTAAATCACCACCATGGGCTCCTTTTTGACCACACCCACTCTTCTCCCTACCGTTTCTAACCCCTGCAAACCACTCACCTGTTTTCCATTTAGGTAATGATGTCTGTATGAAGGCTACGTGAATGGAAATGTCATGTAGTCATGTCTTTGAGCTCGGTTTCTCACTCGGCATGCTTTCCGTGGTCCATCCAAGTTGCGTGCGTCACAAGTTGCTAGCAATCTGTGGTAATGGAGCGTGTTAGAGATGTTTTTTGGTCCTTCAGCCCATGAAAGACACTTGTTGCTTTTCAGTGCTTGGCTGTTATGAACACTTGTATCTGAGTTCCACTTCCCCCTTCCCTACCCCCCTCCCCCCCACGAAGGCTTAAGTTGTGTGAGATAAATGCTCCACTTACCATACAATTGCCGGATCGTCTGATAAATTCTTTATTCATTTTTAGTTTTCAGAGAAGCTACCAACTTATTTTCCAAAGTGACTGTACCGTTGTACTTTTCCCATAAGCTGTGTGGGAGTCATCTTGCTCCTCTGCATCCTTGATGGTGTTTTTCACTGTTTTTCAAGTTAGCCATTCCAATGGTTGTGCTATGTTATCTCATTATGATTTTAATGTGCGTTTGGTTAGTGGCTGATGCTGTTAGATATCTTTAATGTGCTTGTTAAGCACTCATGTATTTTCCACGGTGAGATGTTTCTTCATCCCGTTTTGAATTGTTTTTGTCCTTTTCTAATGATTTAAAAATTGAGTTTATAAAATGAAAGCTTTAAGATAAATTTTATATGCCATAAGCTATAGAATTCAAAATGTGCAATTTAATAATATACTAAATGCAGAAAATTGTAATATACTCTCTACTGCTGCATTTTTTTTCACATTTTAGCTTTGTGAAAATGCTGCCATGAATATTCACGTACAAGTTTTTGTGTGGACATGTTTTTATTTCTCTGGAATATATTTTTAGCAGGAACCTGCCGAGTCAAGTGATAATTCTGTTTAACGTACTGAGAAATTGCCAAACTGTGTCTAAAGTGACCATAACATTTTACAGTGCTACCCAGCGTCCTGACCTTCCCACGTCCTTGACAACATTGATTTTTGTGTTAGTCAACTTAGTGTATTTGAGGTGACATCCAACTGTGGTTTTAAAGATTTATTTTACTTTTATTTGAAAGGCAACTTTACAGAGAGGAAAAACAGAAAGATCTTTTATCTGCTGACTCACTTCCCAAATGGCTGCAATAGCCGTAGCTCTGCCAATTTGAAGCCAGGAGCGTCCTCTGGGTCTCCCGTGTGGGTCCTCTCCTAGGACCTGAGCCATCCTGTTGCTTTCCCAGGACATAAGCAAGGAACTAGATCAGAAATGGAGCAGTTGGGACATGAGCCCAGCACCCACCCATGTGAGTTGCTGGGACTACAGCCGGAGACTTAGTCTACTGTGCTGTGGTGTTGGCCTCTAATAGTGGTTTTAATTTGTATTTTGCTGAGGACTAATGCTATTGAATCTTTTTAAAAAAAAGCTTACATAGGTATTTCTTTCTTCTTCTTCTTTTTCTTTTTTTTTATGAGTTACTTATTTGAGAGTAGGTTTAGACACAGAGAGATCCAGAGATCTTTCATCTGCTGATTCATTCCTTAGATGGCTGCAACAGCAGTGCTGAGCCAGGCAAAAGCCAGGAGCTTCATCTGGGTGTCCACATGGATGGTATGAGCCCAAGGTCTG